GTCTGTTTCAATGTTTCCTACACATACACCATGTATATAGTTCCACTCACATATGTATACATATACACTGTTTTTTTATTTTATTCTATTTATTTAATTATTTGTTTATTTTCCGCCTTCATTGTATATTGGTTTCTCCTTACTTTAGCACCTTTGTGGTTCAGCTACCCAATTTCGCTGTGCAAGAAACTGCATAATGACAATAAAAAGCTCTAAGTCTCTAAGTCTCTAAAGACAAGATGACGCTGCACCCTGTCACAACTTCACTGAAATGTTTTTAAAGGAATCAAATTGCATGAGAACATACATTAATAAATATCTTAGTTTAAACACGTGATATGGAATGTTTGTATTAATCATTTAAACCCTATATCATACCAAATATAGAGGACTTAAACTTTCACCATGACGTTTTTTTTATGCTTGCTTCTTAAGAAGTTATTTGTTAGTATTGCTTAGTCCATGTGAGATATATCCAAGATAAAGAAATCTCTACAAGTCCAGGAAATGGTGTTCCAAATATTTTGGAAACAGGGTTGGATACTACATATATAAATCCCTTTTTCTGCTGCTGTATTAGAAAAAGTAAAAACTTGCTCTTTAGAGTTTCAACACGTCAGCGGTGCCTGTTCTTTAGGTGTAAGGTCTTTCTGCTGACATTTTTTCACACAATCCAGCGATTTGGTCTTTATTAACAAAAGGGTAGTGCCAGAAGTTAGGACATGTAACCAGACTCATACAACACTAATGGACTTTTCACTGCCAAAAAGGCCTGTTGAGATCCAAGCTGACTAAACCTAATATTCTTCTAATAAAAGAATCCAAACGAAGTCATTTTATGATTTTGTTTAGTCCGTTACAACGAGCAGAACAATACGCAGCTTTTACAGCCTGTGGGTTTATTTTAGCACTAAGGCAGACAGTGTCTGCTCCACTGCTACTTCCTGGTTTCCACTGTAACCAAAATAGCGAGAGTTCCTGAGAGATCTTATCCAGTCTGGGATCAATTAGTCAAATCAACGAATGTGATAAGACAGCAAGTATTCGCAAAAAAAACCCCCCTTTCAATCACCCATGAAAAAGCAGAAGTTAAGAGGGATGTCATTGTGTTTCACATATTAGCTGTGTGTGTGTGCAGTGACACAAGTACGTACTGATCATGTCTCGTGTCTGGTACAGCTCTGTCCATTCGGAGTTTGTCGCTTTCCACCTGGTTGAACTTGTTTCTGGCGTAGGGGTCTTGACCTGGCCGGACCACCGTGGCTCCAACATACAGATCCTGGTCAAAATCCTGCCAGCGCACCTTACCTGGATGGACACACACACACACACACACACACATTAGGCACATCTCCAACCAGAGATATCCACAGTAGATGCGAGGCACACACTACTTCCCAGTCAGTTCTGTGACCACTTGACCAGGTTCATTTATTTGAAGGTGCCATTTCCTTCAAGGTCACCTTTTTGTGCACCAGCAGTGACTTGATTTTGGGTTTGATGTGGCCAAAAAGCAGCATGCAGCACAGGTCAGATCGTTTCTCTCAAATGTTTTCCCTTCATGTGCCTAGGGACATTACAGCAGAACTTTGTGTTGACAGTCTGGCGCAAAAGCCACTGTGACTGTCCACGCTCCTACTTCAGCTGAAAACTACTCTTTGATCTCTCGGTCATAGCCAGAGACACAGCTCTCATCACAAGCAGAGATTCTTCACAGGACATTTGGGTCATTTTGAAAGAGAAGTTGATGTTTGTATTGCCAGGGTGCAACCTAAAGATAGCAACCCTAAAAGGAGCGCAGGTGTGTGCGTGAGAAGACAACCTTCAAAAGGAAAAACTGGGTAAATTTAAATCAGGTTTGCTTTCTGATTCTAACCTCAGATCTTTTTGTAAAAGCACTATCTATAATATGATGCTATAAACCCACAAAAATGGTATATTAAATATTCAAATGCACTCCAAAAATATTAAAAACACTGGTGGTAAAAAAAACAACAACTGGTGAACCTAGGTTTTAATACGAAATATTTTCTCATGTGAATTTCTGGGAAATCACGTTAACTAAATACAGCACATCCAAAAATAAAAGCCACCACCAAACGCGATATTAAAACCTTCAACAAAGGCTGCGAATGCGTCTGACGAATGAATGGGATTACAGATCAGTGGGAATATGAAATGTAGGAGGCAGCCTGGCTGATGCAAGAATCCTTCACGACTGACAGCGAGGAAACCTGGCTGCTTCAAGCTGCTGCTTGACGAGGCAGCGACATGGCACTGAGGAAAGCTGACATGAAATTTATGCTGCCTGTATGAGAAAATACGCGGGAGACAACTCAGGCGACAGGGCGAGACTACTTTGGTAAAGCCAGGAAACACAAAAGAACATTTAATATGCACCGCAGACAGTCGGAGGGGGGGGCACTTGTTAATTTGTTGCAGTTTAGAAACATGATTTATAAGATCAGTATAAATAAAAAATATTTTTTAGTGTCGTGTCTGTTTGACCAAAATACTGAAACACTGCAGAATAAACAGAGAAAGGCGTCACGTTTAGTTTCACAGTTTATCTCCGACTATTGAGACGCAGACACACACCAATAATAACGCCACTAATTAGCTGGGTGCAGCTGCCACGCTAACGACTCGAGCGTGTGGCAGTGAGAGATTACGCCATCTCCCAGCAGAGGTGAGCGCGTGCATGGCAGAGAAGTTAGAGAGCGCGTGTGCGTCTGCGCGCGTCTCCTGTGGCAGCACGTGAACGTGGTTCGCGTGTCAATTAGCCGAAACTCTCGACGATGATCCGCTCGCGACTGTGTAACGGTGCCTCGGAGACGCGTGCGTCAGAGTGTGTGATGTCCTTGCTGATATCTGTATTTAGTGGCAGCGAGTAAGCGATGTGGTGAAATGAATGTTAAACCCGGGGTTGATTACTCCGCTTCCTTCAGCGGATTAACGCTCCGCTCTCTCCGGGTTTGCCCCGTTTTTCTGCTGTGTTCGCGATACCGCGAGGCCTCTTCGGCAGGTACATACATGTGCGCTCAGCCTCTGTCTCTGTCATGCAGTACTGGTCAATGATGCGATCCGCTGGCTGAAATTATAGCTGTTTGAACAGCTTTCACTCTCACTCCGACTCTCGGTCGCTGAACTGTTTCAGCCCACAGCGGCTGACTGGTTGTTGTTTTTGTTTGTTGCCGCATTTTGTAGAAATCCCTCGTCGCGTTTCCAAGTGACGCTAACTGCCAAAAATGATTCAAGCTCAGTGTCATTCCCCCAGTCTGTACTGAACCATGAGCCCTCACTGCCTAGCAGACAGCTCAGAGGGCACCAGTGCTCGAGCTGTATTTAATAGATGCGTTTCAATTGAGCTGCATCCTGATCCCACTGCCTGAACTCCAGACTGCAGCACCAATCTGTGCCACTGCTCCCGTGCACCAAGTGATGCTGTTCAATTATAAGGAAGTGATGCATTCACGAACCTGCCACTTAGTCACTGAGAAGGATGTTGATTAATATGCAAAAGCTGAAAGATTCCCAAGTTATTGAGTTTGGCGTTACTGAAGCTGTGTTACTATTTTAGGCTTAAGTAGGGGAAAAGGCTGCTTCCCCATGTGCTACAAAACACTCCGTAGATTCATAGGACTGCGACTGCTGAAAATGCGCCCACACAGAGTCATTTATCAAGACCTCGATTCACTACGGCACTTCATCTATAAATAAATGAATACTCTGACCAACACTGCCACTGTCTGCGTCTTATTCAGCAAATAGCTAGAAAGGAGTAGATAAATGGAAGGGCGTCAAATCTGAATTTTTATAACGCGTTTTCAGCAGATTTAGAAACTAAAATCGCAGCAGAGAATTGGATCGCTCCACTTGCAGGGACTGAGATTAACACACCACAGTTGGCTAAAGCTTGTGACAAGTTAAATCACTATAATAACAGAAATATGCGCCAAACACACAGACTGAAACAACTCTGTTGTTTCACTGGCACAAAGACTAAAACGTTTTGGGAAGAGGTCGAGGTGACGCGTGAGAAAATTTGTTCAGAAAGAAATTCCACTGGACTCTGAGCCGCTTCGACTCCTTTGCATCCACAAGATCATAAATATAAAAAGTAAACAAAGTGGCGTCAGCTAAAGTTGTAGCCAAAAATCTATAAAAGCATCATTTTAAATAACTACACTCAGCAGCCACTTTATTAGGCCCACCTAATCAGCAAATCACATGGCTGCAGTTCAATGAATTTAGGCATGTTGACATGGTCAAGGTGATTGGGGAAATAATTATTTGATCCCCTGCTGAATTTGTAAGTTTGCTCACAAAGAATTGAACCCCCACCCCACATCACATATCTTGGCTAATCACACACACAGGTGTCACCTTCTCACTGAACTTCTTACTGATGACGTTGTAGCCTGTTCCAGCCTCATTCACATCTACAGTCCTGTCCCTCGACATCATCTGACAGCTTTTCAGTCTCACACATGGTGGTGGAGAAGTTGGACTGAAAGAAACTGATTTTGTAGACAGGTGTACTTAATCTATAAGAGCCAGAATTCTGGTTGTAGGAGTTTAAATACTTTAACTTGTGTAATGCGTTTTTTTCCCTGGTATTTTGGTTTTTTAATCTGTTTCAATTAAAAAAAAAATAGAGATTGTTCATTTCTCTGGAAGTGAGCAAACTTACAAATTCAGCAGGGGATCAAATAATTATATACCCCACTGTGAGTCTGAATGTGGGATGGTTGTTGGTGGCAGACTTGAATACAGCAATATTTCCCAGCACTTTGGCGAATCGAAGCTATGAGGAATTAAGGGACTTCTGAAGACAAAGAAGGATCAGCCTGGTACTGACAAAGTAGCCGGCGAGCGCAAATAAATGTTTAGTACCAGACAAGACAAATGATGCCAAACGTTCACTAGAAAGAACACATACTGAGAGCTTTGAGGAGTTTTTTCCTCACTTTGTAAAGGATTCGGATCTGGAAGAGGGCCAGTGCAGGCTTGTTTTGACTTCTCTGAAAAAGACTTTTTTCTTCTTGTTTCAGAGGATTTGGATGTGTTGAATGGAAGGAGCATGCTGTTGCTCCCTCCCCATCTTAGTCATTTTTTTCCCTTGTTTGAATAAAACATATTTTTGGCATGCTCAAACGGTAAAACGATAACAAAACGCTTAAAAACAACCATGAAAAATAACAAGGCGTCAGTGCAACAATGAAACATTTCTAACATACTCAGAGTGACACGGTTTAGTATATTTTATGCTTTAATTTTTTTAAAATGAAGATCTGAGGTATCGCCTCACCTTTTTTACTTTATAATGACTGTCTGAGTAGGATTAGATAGAAAACAAAACATAACCAGCACCCATCGTTGACGAACCCAAAGACTTACTCATTTACTCTGTTTTTATTAGTAAATCTTTTACTCTTCCACGTATCTCTTAGGCTCCATCTCCTTGTTCTCTTGCTTTCTCAACACTTTCCTTCTGTTTTCTTTCTCCTCTTCTTAAGTGTCCTTGTGCACTCTGGGTGATGTTGTGATACGCTGTCATTGCTGAGTGTAAAGTCACCCTGAAATTGAAATGCCCTCACTTCAACATTCAATTTGGATAGCATTGCTGGATCAGATAAGAGAGTGTGTGTTCAGCGTTCGCAGGTCACGGGCCTGTGAAGGAGGGGCGTTGGCTGCTTCTGCTGCTTTGAGTCAGCCTGACGACGGGTGCTGAATGAGAAATCAGATTCTCCTCCTGCTCTCCTCTTGGCTGCTGGACACTGAAACAATGTCTCTCAGAGTTTGGGTGGAGACGCATAGTTGGTTTGTGGGAAGATCGAAATTGGCTGCCTGAATTATTTTGGACAGGCAATCGGCTCCAACCTGTTTTTAAGTCGGAATCATACAGATGTGCGTATTTCATTGGGTTCCCTCGCTGTGGTTATTTCAAACACGATAAGGTTAAGGATGTTCATGTTCTACTGGTAATAAAACAAACTATGCTGCTGTGTTACCGCGTTTTGAAAAAGGAAATGGTTTAGGTTGTGGGAACATGACGCGGAATACTCTCTGGATACATGAATGTGGTTTACAGTGACTGCAGTGCACATACTCTGCAGCTGGTATGCATTTGTGTCGTGCCTTTTCCTAGAGTTCAGTCACAACTGCAAGCAATGAGAAAGTGAACTCCACAAATCCTGAAGGATCAAGAATAAAAGATAAATTTGACACACGTGTGCCTCAGACATGAATCGTTCCTGCCAGTTAAAGGGAACTACTACACTACTTTTACAAGACAGCGGGTCTCGGGAGCACTACTGCAAATGTACTACTACGTTAGCTACAAGTTTAAGAAGTTAAGAAGAAGACAGCTTACCAGAGCTCTGAAGCCCCATTCCCATGTCTGCACAGGACAAATTAAGCGTTATTAGGACAACACAACCAATGGCTGTTAAGATGCATTGTGAGCAATAAACTGTATATAAAAGATAGAAAAAGCTGCCAAGCCTGACAAGTTAAGTAAATGTGATTTTTTTTTCTAACAATGTGTGCTTGCAAAGATAAGAAGTCTACTTCTTGCATGATTTATTACCCTTGCAAACACTTTATTAACAAGTATGTCATCTCAATTGCTCGTATCAAACCTTAATTATGTATGATTTTTTTTTAAATTATGGCCTCATTTTAAGTAAATACAGACAGTAAGCCACAGCTTGCTATTGGCTCCACTAATTTACAAGTCACTACTGTATAAGAGTGAGCATCCACAGTTTTTACAGTCAGATCCACTCCTCCTCCTGTGATGTGTGGTTTAAAAAACAAAAACAACAATATACTGTCATCCAGTGCTTTGAAAGCAGGACTCCACCCCCCAATAGCTGAGGCCACAGTGGCTACATCCAAAACTGATATATGGTGTGTGGTTTTAACAAGAAGAAACAGCATCTGGAATAAAAACAGATGTTTCTCAGCCTGTTGCATTGACTCTATTGAAGTTGTAGCACCTCAGAGGTTTGCTCTCTGAATGTCCCCATTTAGCCATGTAACTGGGCCAGAGAGGTTGTGATATATGATGTGTGGGGACGTTTCCTACCTGGTGGCAATGTCTCCGGGCCGTGGGCTTTGTCGTCGGAGTTGTGACCTTTGGTCCTACCGGACAAGTCCCTGGACACCCAGTCATCCTGAAAACATTGAGAAAGGCGGTTAGTCACAGTTCTCACACTGTGAGCTTGAGTACAAACAGCAAACAAACCTGAAGCAAGGCAAACAGAAGTGAGTTGAGTGTATGAACATCTGATTTGTTTGTATTTGGAAGCGCTGTGAAGATTACAGAGAGAAATGTGCAAGGAAAGACAAACTGGGACCTCACAATGCAACGTAACATGCAGAATGAAAAGAGCTCATTTTAGCTTCACTAGTTCAAGTCTTGGACGCCGCTAGAGTAGCTCTGCGTGAGTCCCAGCTCGTAAATGATCCCCATTTATCTTATACTGGACCTTGATGGACATTTTAGCTCTTCTGTCTTTATAAGCCAAGTTTGATCTGATTGGCTTTCCTTCAGAAAAAGGTTTAAACAGCAGGTGGGTGGCTGTGTGAGCAGAGCTGTACGCATGAGAGCACATTAAGGATATTCCCTCCCTCTGACATCAAACAGAGCAGTTTGAAACCGAGCGTTTAGACTTTTCTGGAGCCTGAGAAGCACCTCCAGTTTGAGCACTCCTTTTTTCAGTAAAACCTCATAAAATCAAATTCACTATTTAGATAACAGGATGTCCAGCAAACATGGCTCTACTGGTCAAAGATGTTGAACGGTCAAAGCACTTAAAAATCAATAAATTATCCAGTCAACGTGTGCTTTAGAGCGGTTTCATCATCAGTTAAAATACGCACACTCCCGTGATCATCCACAGCCTGTCAGTTTCTCTCCGTTAGCCATTTAAAATCAATGCTGGCAGCGATTCAGAGGTCGACTCGTTCGTTATTTCACTCACTAATTTGGCTGTTCCTTTCATCCTCTTCTGTTCATGATTCCATAATTTCACTCATTCATTTTATCCCTGTAAGGTCATCTTCTGAGCCCTTCTGAGAAACACCGTCATCGTCTTGCCCACACCATTTGTACAAATGGACAGATGACCGAGCCACCCATCCATCCTCTTGTCCACATAGGTTACAATTAAAACCCACCGGATCGATACGCTGGCAGGGAACACAATTAGCACCATTCACTCTGGGTCCAGGCTGCTGCCCTTGACTTCAGAAATACTATTATTCTGCTTTCTTATCTGCTCTGTAGCCCGCATTTCACCTTCAGCCTCTCCAAAATGTGTTATTGATCCGTTTTCTTTATGCCTTCGGGACAGGCAATAACGACGTGATGTCACAAACCACCGCAGACCGTGCTCAGCTGTTAATTTCTACCTCTGACAGAAGGGCTAATAGGGATTTTCACAGCTTTTTATGCATTAATGTTAGCAAAAACAACTGCTGTTGTTTTCTGTGACTGTTGCCCATCATTTAACTGTATGCCAGATTTTTAAATCATCTGCTGTGGACAGAGTCTCAGTCTGTTCTGAAACCACAACCTTTTCTCAGTGACTGCAATACGATTAGACCGTCCACCACCTGCAACAACTATATAAAAAAAAAAAATCCTACATAAAATCAATTTCTATAAGTGCTCAGGACAGATGAGTGTGTGCACAGTTAGAGAGTAATGTTCGGCGTAGGATAAAGACTAAAGCTGGCAGTGTACTTCCTGTGCAAACACAGTCTGACAGGTTCTGAGGGGTAAGAATAAAACATGGGGGCTGATTTTCTGGTAAAATAAAGCAACAAATTGGTGCAGGACTTCTTCCTGGTGAAGCAGTTTTCTGAAAAGGAAACAACTTGCAGACATTTTACAATCAACTCTTCAAATGCTGGCTGCGTTATGAGCAAATAATAAGCCACCTTTCATTATAATAAGTGATTGAGAAGAGATCAAATTAAGATTATACTTGTTATAAAGGAACACAACCCCCCTTCTTGAATTCTCATTAGTTTTGATGATCTGTATTCTTCGCAGTCTCTGATCATACTCGTGTTTGCACAAGTCTTTCAAGTACGACCAAACACTTTAACGTGATTATAAGACAATTATTCATATCAGCCAAGGTGTCTCTTTGTCTCTGTCAAGACAAATTTGATCGCATCTGTCACATCTTCACTCTCTCCCAGCACGCCCACCCCCACCAGGAAACTGTCATCTGTTTTTTATACGTCTGGATGCCTCCCAGTCCACCACGCAGACCCACTACAGAAGCAGTTACATGCTGAAACGCTGCTGTGAAAAGACCTCCATCTAAAGCAGGGGTAGGCAACTCCAGGCCTCGAGTGCCGGTGTCCTGGAGGTTTTAGATGTATCCATGATCCATCGCAGCTGATTTAAAGGGCTAAATGACTCCTCAGCATTTCTTGAAGTTCTCCAGAAGCCTGGTAATGAACTAATCATTTGATTCAGGTGTGTTAACCCAGGGTGCGATCTAAAACCTGCAGGACACCGGCACTCGAGGCCTGGAGTTGCCTACCCCTGATCTAAAGCATCTGTGCTTATGTGCAGCAGCATCATGCACAACATCAAATGTTGTGCAAGGCCAGTGCACAAAGACACTGAATAAGCAGGGGATCTAACCTAACACAGCTGATATAAACCTTACCAGAGGACTTTATATATCACGAATTGAAAAAAAAAAAAGAAAAGAAAAAAACTTCTAAATGAAGTCCTCATTTTTAATAAACACTTCTCCTCGCCTTTACAATTTGTGGAGGTAAAGTGACCTACACCCCGTAGATTCTACTGATATTTAATCGCATCAGTAAAGCAGAAGGCCCTTGTACAGTACACCATTAAACACTATGTCGTGCACTAGAGACATTTTTACACGTTTCTTTGCTACAGCAGGAAAAGTACAGGTGCTGATAATACTGAGTCTGTTAGAGTGATTAGTTCCAATTTTATTCCTCATTAGTTTCCATTTTTAATTCATCTCAAGTTTTTTGTTTTAGTTCAATTTAACTCCATTCGCTTGCTTCAGTTTAGCTTTTAGTATCTGGAAATGTAGGTTTAGGTTTTATGAGTTTCTATGTTAGTCTTTTTTATTACTATACTGTGGGGTAGCGGGGTGTTACAAAAGATCTTAGTCACATACAACATATGCACCAAAGCCTCCGACTGGCTGCTGTGCTGACAAACCTGAGGAAAGTGAGAAAGACTAAAACTGAGGACATCTATTTTCTTCTGCTTATCCAACTCTGGGTCACAGGGGCCGGAGCCTATCACAGCTGTCATGGGGTGAACACCCTGGACAGGGCTTACACAGAGAGAGAGAGAGACAACCATTCAATTTAATGATTTAGAAGTGCCAGTTAACCTAAAATGCATGTTTTTTGACCGAAAGAGGGGAAGAGGGTACCGAGATTGAACCCACACAGGGACAGACTCCACAACGAGGCCAACTGTTTTTAGTTACATCTCTTCTTTTTTCAGCGATTCACTGTGGAAATGTCTTTACACTGACACAACAGGAAGTTTCGCCGACCTGGCCCACTTACGGTCGAGGTGGGCTGTATGTGGCCTACGATGTAAAAGGAGTCTGACATCCCTGATCTATCAGGAGTGTAGCTTGGCTTATTTGAATAATGAAGGCGGTTCCTTGTTCCACACGGATATCTTCTCGCTCCAAATCTGTGACCCTGCAACCTCTTTAGCCATCTCACAACATACCCAGCAGGTCTGAACAAACTCAATCTCGCTCTCTCTTTCTTTGTCCCCAAAAGGATTTGTTTGTCTTTTTTTTTTTTTTTAAACAAAGAAGACAGTTGGAGATGGAGGTGAACAAAAAGGCAAGAAATACTCTTAAAATAATAGCTGGAAGATGAAAGAGGAGTCAACCAGAGAAAGGGGAATTGGAGAGAAAGTTGGGGAAAATAAATCCCTGGTACATTTGAGCTACGTGCTTCCCGTGTAAACTTCTCTGTGACTTATGGGAAGTACTCGCCATCACAGATCACACCGAGATAGAAAACGTTAGGAGATAATGAGAACAATGCAGTGCTGTAAGGAGCCAGGCGTGTGATTTATCAACAAATGGTTACTATAAATATGACAAATCGCTGATTGAGACATGATTTAAACGAGTAAGTAAGGAGCAGATGTTGACGAGCTATTTTTATAGCTCACATCATATGAACGGCTTGAAAACCTCTTAGTGAAAGTGGCCTCAGCCCATCTTTGGCTCTCCTCAAAGCACAAAAAAATGACTGATTAGAATGATGTCCACTTAAAGGGAAATAAAATCAACCTCAGTGATGCACTGTGGGCTTTTGGAAACAGAGAAAGGCACGATGTTGAGCAACTGTTAACCCCTCGATGTCGGGTTCATGTGGTTTGTTCTAACTGTTAATTGAATCTCAATGATTTTTCCACAGCATCAAACTAAGCTGCAACCTCTGGGGCTAAAAAATAAAGCCAACACAAAGTGCTAAGAACTCCAGTTCCTCTAATAGCTTCACGAGGCAGGCTCCTGTTATTGAGCTTTATAACTATTGTTATATAAACTCTATCACTCCAAAAGCTAATTTCCCCTTCATAACAACTGTACAGGGGTGATTTTCTTTTCTGTCCCAACAACACATTTGGATTTTGTTAAGGCTCACTACAATGTTTAAAACTGACGCCTCACAGCATGAAGACTCCTCATGTGAACCCTGGCTAGAACCATTCTGTGCCTTCACTGGATTGCTCTCACCATCTATTCGAGCGAGTCTGACAACGGTCAAACTGTGCTGGCTAGACGACTGGGTCAGAGCATCTCCAAAACTGCAGCTCTTGTGGAGTATTCCTGGTCTTTATGGTTAGTATCTAACAGAAGTGGTCCAAGGAAGGTGAACAGCGGTGAACCTGGTCATGAGCAGCCAAGGCTCATTGATGCACGTGATTGATGCACAAGGCTGACCCACGTAGTCTGATCCAACAGATGAGCTACTGTAGCTCAAACAGCCAAACAGGTTAATGCATATTCTGAATAAAAGTGTCAGAATAAACCGTGCATCATAGTTTGTTGCATGCGGGACTGCAAAGCTGCAGGCCAGTTAGGGTGCCCCATGAAGGTGCCAATAAGGGCCACGTGAACATCAGAAC